TATATATATATGTGAAAAGGAAATCGATATTTGGCAGAAGCCCAAATATCGATTTCCCATGCGCAATCCGGCCCCATTCATATATACTACCCATTATCTGATATTGTTATATGCGAGAAAGTTGTTGAAATGTTGGTGATTTCGCTCTCAATTGTTGTCACCATATCACAACTTGTAATCTTTTTGGATTCCTCATCATAAAGCTCATTATCGTCACATATCTCCAACCTTCATTCCTGGTTACCAAATCACTATCATTGGATAAATATTCTTAGGAGACCAATCCATGAAATTAGAAAGGGGAACAAAAATGAAAACTAGAAATCGATGGATTAGGGTAAGGTATTTCTAATTTTCTATTAAAATTTTTTACTCACTTTTTTTTTTCTCTTTTTAATTTAGGACAATAGCCGAGGCATAGAGGTTTTGAGCTCGAGCTTTTGTGGATATCGTAACAAAAAAGAATATGAGAATAATGCGGCACCAGTGCAGTAGGCTAAATGGGCTAAATGAAATAAGCAAAGAAAAAGAGAAGAGGAGGTTTGGGTGACTTCCTTGCACATTAAATCCCCATTAAAAGAAAAAAAAAATCTCATATAATCAAAATTAGGGATGTTTAGCCTTCATATAGTCAATTTTAATGTCCTCATTAAATGAACATGCTTTCATGAATTTATTCTATTACATTTATGTCATCCCTTCCAATGTAAATTTGGGCCAACATTTGAAATGTATTTTTGCATCAACATCTGTTTACTAAAATGTGTTGGTGATAATCTGTGATTTATGTTGTTGTTGGAGACATGAATTTTGAGAGGTGATGGAACATGTTTATGAGATGAATTTTATTTTGCATGTTGGATAGTTTATTTTGTATGTTGGATAGTTTTCAGCTATCTGGTTCACTAAATGGGTCTAAATGGGCTTATTTAAATTACCATTTAAGAAGAGCTATGACATATGTATTCTATCACGGGTCCTTATATTTTAAGGATTTGTTCAACCTTTTTATTTTTATTCAGGTCTTTTGAGTTTGGGCCTCGACTGATTGTACTGTTATCACTTGTTTATTTGAATGTTGAATGAATTAACTTGTCTTACAAGCTAAATTTAAAAATAAAACAATTGAAACTTTATCAGAGGAGATTTGTTTGGCGGGGGCAATTGTTAATTTTCATTTATAGGTGAAACACATTATTTTGCATAAAACAAAGCTTAGTTGACTCATTTAACCAGTATTTATAATATTTTTCATGTTTAAGAGCTTAATATTATAGAAATCAATTATCAAATAGTTAGTTTAATATTTACGTGACTATTTTTTTTAAAGTTTTTAATTAACCTCTTAAAATATATATAGATATATAATTAATAAAAATACTTATGCCAATAATTAGTAAATAAGGTTAATTCCAATATAACAATTATTAACGAATTAGTAATTGGTTAAATAATCAAGTTACCATGCATTTATTTCTTTGCCTTTTTTCTTGGGTGTCATGTTTGTTAGATTTGGGTGAGTTTGATGTTGAAGCTAGCCTTGAGCAAGGTTATGCTTGACCAAACTTATCATAAACTTGGGTTAAGATTTATTCACTCTATCATGGCCACCATCTTGCATCTGGGAGGATTATCAGTTTCAATTCTAGTTTAGGCTCGTAATGTGATCCAAACAAGTCAATGGAGGGTTATTTGGTTCAATGTTATTTAGAGTTTATTGTTATTGAGATATCAACCTTATTATATGTTATTGTGATCTCTCAGATAGTATTTTATTTTAGTGATATTACATTTAAAGGTGCCATAAACATTTTTAAGATGATAATTGTTTGGTTCAATGATTTTTTTTTGGATACCTAAGTTAAGATATCACTTGCTATTCGAGAAGTATGTGTAGTGGAAGAGATTGAGGATTTTATTGAAAGAAGTTTTCAAATCACAATGTTGGATAGAAAGATTAGGTAATTGGAAGTCTATATGCAATAATAGATCGGCAGTTAAGATTATGAAGTTTAAGATTGATGAGATAAGGAATTTGCATCGTTCGATGGTGATAAGCATCATGAAGTTTGAACTTATTTTGGATGAATTTATATTTTGAATTTAAATCTTCTTATTTTTTTTAAGTTGGTTTAGGAAGGATAATGTTGTTTTAAATTTGAGTTGGATAAGACTGTTTCTTATTTGATGGAGTTAATTTGGCAGCGGATAAGAGCATATTTAAAATTAATTCCTAATACTTCTTCTATTAATCGTGATTTCCTTCAATACAAAGTATATTCAGCTCTTCTAAAATTATTTCCTATTATTATTTCTATTAATTGTGTTGTGCGAGATTTGATCATCAGGGAAGCAATAGAGGTAAGCAACTGTGGAGTTGGATGGCTTTTGTAATCTTTTACCGCTTGAAATAAAAGCTCACTAACAAATACAAAAGCAAAGCACATTACCTTAGGGCTTCAAATAACTAGAACAAAGATGCATTGACATCTATAATACTTTGTTTGAGATTGTCATAACAAAATAAAAAACAAAGAAGAAAATTTTCAGTTTTTTGTTTTTTGGAGATTTTTCATTACCTTTGAATTCATTAATGATTTTTTAAATATATTCATGTATTCAATAATATTCTTTATTTTTTAGTTTAAAAACATTAAATTCATCTAAGAATCGATTAGAAGATGATAATATGATTAAGGGAGCTATATTTTATTGAATGTTATTTCATCTTAGTTCAATTAATTGAGGTTTTCTCAACCAAGATTCTCATTGTCTTTCCACACCATCCAGTATAGTTTAACATGCTTGTCGATCAATAATGTTGCAGATTCTTTATTTAGGATTTAATTTTTTTTAATTATGGATATATATATGTGATTATATTTTATAAAATAATATTTTAACTTTAAAAAAACAATAACTCAATTTGATTTATTTATTATTATAATTTTGGAAAATAATAATATTTTAATTTAGAAAAGTGAGACTGAATGAACCTGACATATTTGATAGTTTAGATGATTGAACACGATGCCATAATTAATACACTGTCCCGAAGGATAATCATACCACTTGTTAGTAGACTTAACCACCTAAACTAAAGAATGCGACATCCGTTTGACCTGAGAAACTTATTATGTATGACCAACAAGTTTCCCTATTTAACATGAAAGATTTAATAGAGTTTATATTAAGTTCCCCTATGTATGACCAACAAGTTCCCCTATTTAACATGAAAGATTTAATAGAGTTTATATTAAGTTGGGTTCTTAAGTTCCTTATAGAGTCAAACCTCTATAGTTAATTACATCTTATGCAATTGAAATCTCATAAGACAACTCTCGATTAAGATTAATGATTCTGTCTTCAATATTTCAAAATTTACGTTTCCAAGTTAGGACACAGGAAATTCAAAAGAGAATGATTCAAAATAGGAACAATTATTTTTCAGGAGTCAAATGAATGAAATGTAAGGGATGTCACAGATTCGAGGAACACTTCGGTGACTTCCCAACTATCTTATTATTTGACTTTATGTTTTTGAAATGATATTATTTAGTGTTTCAATTCTGTCGATTTATTTTAGAATTTAGGACTTATATTCGAATGATATCCGATCTTGCAAATAGTCTAAAAAGATATGAGTATTTATGTCGTGCCACCTTATGATCTTAGAAGAGTTAGGCCTTACGCTACACAATATGGTTGTGCAGAGGCCTAAAACGAAAGTGAGGATTTATGTCGCACTAAGCAGACTATCTCGAAGTCCGATGAGCATGTTATTTATTCTATAAAAATTCCAACCGAAGATCGTCCTTAACTTCGTTGTTGTGGTTTCGTTCCGTTGCCCTGCGTCCGCTCGGTTCCTCGTTTTGTTTCCTGGAAAGGATACTCCAATTTCCCTATAAAAATTCCAACCGAAGATCGTCCTTAACTTCACTGTTGTGGTTTCGTTCCGTTGCCCTGCGTCCGCTCACTTCCCCGTTTTGTTTCCTGGAAAGGATACTCCAAGTTCCTTAACATATCGATCATAGGTTCAGGGTGGTTTTGGTGTGTGTATATATACAGTTGTTAGGTCAGTGGCTCGCTATAGGGTGACTCCTAAACCGGGTATCCAACTGTCCTCTATCTTAAAGGCCCCTGCAAGTCTATAGGAGTAACATGAATAATAAAAAGGAAACATACTACGAAGCGCAGTAAACAATAAACATTAACATCGCAAACATGAACTATATGTATATACAGTAAAGTGAGGTAAAGAGAAAACGGTAAGTAAAGAAAGGCAGTAAGGTGCAGTAAAGAAAGCAAAATGCTGTAAATATAAAACAAACCTATATACCTAATGGGTATGCTGTTCCTGTAAATGAGGTCGGTGTCGCAGGTACAAGTAAACAAGTATAATAAAAGTATTTAACAAATGGGTAAAGATGCATTTATATAAATGAAAGTGAATAGCAAAAACGTACTTGGACAACTTAAGGAAAGCCACAAATGACCCATGGTAACTCAAAGAAAACTTTTTGGAAACGCGAGGGAAATCTAAAAAAATCACGAGTAATCTACAAAGACTCGAATAAAATCGTAGGAAACATACGAAAAATCCGAGAAAAGAAAGAGAAATGTAAGCATTCAGGTCGGGGTAGGCTCAAATTTAGTTATTCTCGAGGGACTTCGAAGACAACCATCGGTCATTCGTATGCATAGAGCCCGACATTCAACTAGAAATTTCCAATAATACAATCCTAAGAGGGCAATACTTAGCCCAATGCAGGTAATTGACAAATGGAGAATTGAATTATATTACTTAAAATTTATATTTTGACATTTATATAGGTTTCATGCATATAGGAGAAATTAATATCTATTTTAGTAGTCAAAATATTTTGTAAATAGCATATCTGTTCTCATCGTTGTATTTTATAAACTTAATTGTCCATAA